TTGATAACATTTAATTGGTAAATAGAAGTATTTTCGCTGCTTTTATTCAGTGACAAGGAACAACATCCTAATTTTTTTTGTTATATTCTATTATTATTTAATTTTTTTAGTTTTACCAAAACAAAGGCTGAAAATTGTGTATGCACTGTACCATTTTTATCACAAACTGGTTGAGTTATATGTACTGAATCTTTTATGTTTTGAATATATATTTTATACAAGTTTAAACATGTTACTTTTTATGATATTGTTATATTTTATTTTTATTTTTCTTTAGTTTTACCGTTACCATCATTTGGAATTAGTTTGCTGGCTGTTGAGATATGGTTTTAACTAAAGTAAACTTTCATGATTTGAAATTTATTTTATTGATCATTAGCCAACAGCTATCAAAGAAGTCTATTCAACACAAGGAACTGGACCCTCTGGTGTATTGCCAGAGATGTTGAAAGCTTCAGGGGATGTGGGTGTCAGTGGATGTCATATCTTTACAATGCATTTGTACTTGAAGGTAAAATTGCTCCAATATGTGGTTCATACTGAGGAATTGAACTACTTGCCAGGTAATAATTATTTTAGAAAGAATTATTGCAAACAAAAAATAAGGAGCAGTATATTTATCAATAACATGCAATTTGGTTTTATGTCAGGAAAAGGACTGGATATCAGAATGTAAAGATACAGATGTTTCGATATCAGCATATAGGATGCTAAAACGATGATAATGATGATGATGATAATGATGATGTTGATATTGATGATAATGATGACGATGATGATGATGATGATGATGATGATGATGATGATGATGATGATGATGATGATGATGATGATGATGATGATAATGATGATGATGAAGTTTTTAAAGTTAAACAGTGTAGAAATGTTTAAGGAACAATCGGTAAAAATATCATTTGTGATAAAAATATTCATTCATAATGATGATGATGATGGTAATGATGATGATTAAACTAAGTCATCATATGATGACTTTAAGCTTAAGCATTTATTAGTTGCTTGTTTTTAAGCGGATAATAACTTTCTTTCAGGTCGTTACTAGTAAGTCTAGTAGCAAGTAATGTTGTGTAATGATGTGTAATATTATTGCTAGTAGCAGTCTTAAAACATTAGTAATAGCATAGCAATAACATATTAGCAACAGTAATATATACAAAGTATAGCAATTTCTCAAATAACATGAAATGTCATAATGTACATATGTACATATTTAATATTAGATTTTAGCAATATAGTAATAATAATAGTTTTTTACAAAATGTAATGTTAGGGTAACAATTGGTAAAAATATCTTTCATTTTCAGTTAAAATAAAAAAATAATATGAAAAAAAACCAGTTAAAAACATTTAACTGTTTATTAATTTCAACATCCTATTGTGTGTGTATGTGTGTGTGTATGTGAGTGTGTGTGTGTGTGGTGTGTGTGTGTGTGTGTGTGTGTGTTTATGTGTGTAAATACTTATATTTGTAAATTAAAGTTTTTCCATTTCCATTTACTGTTAACAAAAGTTAATAAAAATTGGGAATCTACTTTTTTTGAAAGTAACAATATTTTCACATTATTTCTAAAGATTTTATAAATCTTATAGTAGATTAAAAATAGATTTTATAAGTCTGCTTATAAATGTTCTTCTGATAAATGGTTTAAGTTGTGCATTTTGGCAGAGGCAAAAATCTGAACAAAAAATCTAAATAAAAAGTTATTGCTACAAAATATGAAAAGCCTTGATTAGTCATGAATAAGAGTTTTAACCATTCTTTTAAAGTCCAATTTAAATGATCTTTGGTAAATTTTGTTTTGGGCTTAGCCATTCTTTAACAATTTTATTGGATTCATGACATGGCAATGACCAAACAAATTATGCTGATGCAGTCAAAATTTTGTACTATCAACGATACCCTTTACTCTTAATTTTAAAAGTATTACAGTTTCTGCATTTCATACTATGCTTGTTGTTGAATTTTTTTAATGAATTTTTCTTCTAATAATCATGGATTATTGTTTATTATTTTTATTGTGACAATTATATAAGCTTTCCCATTTCAAAATATATACATTCTTCTTCTTACTGTTAAGTTATTGTTTCATTTTAGCTAATTATACTAAGTAGTCACATTAGAAGAATAATTAATGAAAAATTCATTTATAATTGGAAAAATAAGATAAATTATAACAAAAGAACTTATTATAACTAGCTGTTTATAAACTTTTGCACAGTTACGTTTTCCGATTATTTAATATTTTAAAATGGAACGGAAAAATATATTCCGTTCCCTTTAAAAATATTGAATAATCATAATGAAAAAAAGTTATAAACTTTACTTTTTATGGTTTATTTTCTTCTAGTGCATTTTGTTAGATAAATAAGATAATTTTACTACTTTTCTAAATTTTAAACTAAAGATCAAGGGAACATTAGCTAAAGTAAAATTTAATTCTAAAATTGAAATCATAAACAATACAACTTAAAAGTACAACCTTGTCCTTAACTATGAGTTTCGATCTTGACCTTTGATCTTTAAATTGTCACAAATAATCTTTTAATTCTTAATATTAACAATTTTGCAATGTTTTGAGGATGATAACACTAAATTGTTCTGATTACTGTTGAAAGAAAGTTATTATCCGCTTAAAAACAAGCAACTAATAAATGCTTCAGCTTAAAGTCATCATATGATGACTTAGTTTAATCTTCATCATTATCATCATCATCATCATTATGAATGAATATTTTTATCACAAATGATATTTTTACCGATTGTTCCCCAAACATTTCTACACTGTTTAACTTTAAAAACTTCATCATCATCATCATCATCATCATCATCATCATCATCATCATCATCATCATCATCATCGTCATCATTATCATCAATATCAACATCATCATTATCATCATCATCATTATCATCGTTTTAGCATCCTATATGCTGATATCGAAACATCTGTATCTTTACATTCTGATATCCAGTCCTTTTCCTGACATAAAACCAAATTGCATGTTATTGATAAATATACTGCTCCTTATTTTTTGTTTGCAATAATTCTTTCTAAAATAATTATTACCTGGCAAGTAGTTCAATTCCTCAGTATGAACCACATATTGGAGCAATTTTACCTTCAAGTACAAATGCATTGTAAAGATATGACATCCACTGACACCCACATCCCCTGAAGCTTTCAACATCTCTGGCAATACACCAGAGGGTCCAGTTCCTTGTGTTGAATAGACTTCTTTGATAGCTGTTGGCTAATGATCAATAAAATAAATTTCAAATCATGAAAGTTTACTTTAGTTAAAACCATATCTCAACAGCCAGCAAACTAATTCCAAATGATGGTAACGGTAAAACTAAAGAAAAATAAAAATAAAATATAACAATATCATAAAAAGTAACATGTTTAAACTTGTATAAAATATATATTCAAAACATAAAAGATTCAGTACATATAACTCAACCAGTTTGTGATAAAAATGGTACAGTGCATACACAATTTTCAGCCTTTGTTTTGGTAAAACTAAAAAAATTAAATAATAATAGAATATAACAAAAAAAATTAGGATGTTGTTCCTTGTCACTGAATAAAAGCAGCGAAAATACTTCTATTTACCAATTAAATGTTATCAATAATATAATAAATAGAAAAAGTTAACAAAAATTCAAAAATAAGATTTGCAATCGTTCAACTTTCATTAAACTCACTAAATTATTACTCAACAATAACTCCCAGCATGCATCTTAGAAGCCAGAGTGTTCATGTGTCCCATAAACTCATCTAAATTAGAACAAAATATAAAAAAACAAAATTGTAAGGAGCGTGTTCAACTAATAAAATACTAAACTGATTAATATATGCTTTAATAATAATTTTAAGTAAAGAAAAAAACTCTAAACTAACTCTAAAACTAAACTGATCATAAAATACTTGAATAAGAATTTTACTAACTAATTGCAGCTCAAGTAAAGAAAAAAACTCTAAACTAGCTCTAAAACTAAACTGATTATTATATGCATGAATATTAATTTAACTAATTAATTGCAGCTTTAGTAAATAAAAAAACTCTAAACTAACTCTAAAACTAAACTGATCATAAAATACTTGAATAAGAATTTTACTAACTAATTGCAGCTCAAGTAAAGAAAAAAACTCTAAACTAGCTCTAAAACTAAACTGATTATTATATGCATGAATATTAATTTAACTAATTAATTGCAGCTTTAGTAAATAAAAAAACTCTAAACTAACTCTAAAACTAAACTGATCATAAAATACTTGAATAAGAATTTTACTAACTAATTGCAGCTCAAGTAAAGAAAAAAACTCTAAACTAGCTCTAAAACTAAACTGATTATTATATGCATGAATATTAATTTAACTAATTAATTGCAGCTTTAGTAAATAAAAAAACTCTAAACTAACTCTAAAACTAAACTGATCATAAAATACTTGAATAAGAATTTTACTAACTAATTGCAGCTCAAGTAAAGAAAAAAACTCTAAACTAGCTCTAAAACTAAACTGATTATTATACGCATGAATATTAATTTAACTAATTAATTGCAGCTTAAGTAAAGAAAAAAACTCTAAACTAACTCTAAAACTAAACTGATCATTATATGTTTGAATGTTAATTCAACTAATTAATTGCAGCTCAAGTAAAGAAAAAAACTCTAAACTAGCTCTAAAACTAAACTGATTATTATATGCATGAATATTAATTTAACTAGTTAATTGCAGCTCAAGTAAAGAAAAAACTCTAAACTAGCTCTACATTATTTACGATTACGATTTGTTTGTGGTATTAAATGTTAACTGGCATATTAATGTTAAGATTATTGCATGTTTTGAATACGTTTAAAGGATTGAAGAATAAATAATAATAATAATAATAATAATTGTAATAATAAAATACATTTATCAACAGTTGGGAACATAATTAAACACCACTTGGAAACCCAAAAAGTATTAAAACTGCATAGAAGTTTTGCTATTTAAATATTTGTAAAAATGTTTGTAAAAATATTAAAATGTGTCAGACACAAAATACAACAATAAAGTAAACCATTTAATACCAAATAAAACAAAGGCATGTATAATTTCCAATCAAACAGTTGAACAAAAACGACAAAACCAGTATTTTGATTTTATAAACCAACCCTCTTTCTTGCCAACACATTTTTTGTGAAACCACAAAAGGCAGGAATCACATGCTATTGAGCCCCCAATGTCATTGCCCACGGAAGTGCTTTTTTGGCACAAAGCACAAGGCCAAATTCGTTGCTGACACTTGACATCAATTATTTCATTGAGCACTTTCCATCCATCTGCAGTAAAATATGATTGCAGAGACAAAAGAGATCCTAGAGCACTTTCATCAAGAATAGCTGAAGAAATACAATTCACTCTTTTTTCTATACAACTACTCTGTATAAGAATGCCAGAAAGAGCTTTCTGGACATCATCTGGTTTCAAAAACCAACCCAGCATCACTACAAAAAAAATATATAGTCAGTATTATTTAATTAGCCGGAAATAAAAATTTAGCTAGTACATTAAACTTAAAAAATACCAATCAATAAAGTAAACTACAAGTTGCAGTCTACAAAATTGGTTATACATACTAGCATGTCTTTTAGACGGATGAAGTTTTAAAAAAGGTACTAGCCCTTCATGCAACTGACATTGTCGTTTTTTAGGTAGACCAATAGTAGTTAAAGTAGAACCTTTAGGACGCCCACAGTGTTTGACACGTTTAGGCACGTGAATCTGTGCCAAGTAAGAATCTACAATAAAATTAGTAAATTAAAAGAATCTACAATAAAATAAAATGAAGTTAATGAAGTCTATAAATAATTTATTTGTTGTTTTACCAATATTATACTACTATACATTAACCTGCACCTGCATCACTCTTCCCAGATGTCAACTCTTCTTGCTGATATGGTTCTTTTTCTGCAATTTCAGCTTGCTCTGATAAAAATTTGTTATTTATAATTTCATATTGTGCACCTATCTGTGACACTGATATACTTTCTTTATTGAGTACTTTTGGAACTATTAAAGTGACTTCATCGTTTACGTGTGCTGCACATTCCAATGAATTTATTGAATATGTGCTAGCAACGTTTTTAGATGCACTAACTGTAGTAGAAGAACTTGTTGAACAAATACCAGCTTGTAAGGTTGATACATCAACACTAACAGGTAAACAAGTTGAATTAACTGTTCCGACTGCAGAAAATGTTGTTAAATTAACATCAGAAAAAACTAATGTTGCTGCTATTGATGTATGAGATGATATTCCTGTTTGTTTAGATATTTGTTCACACGTTACTAAATCATCTTCTTCAATAAGTTCGTTAAGTACCATTACCTTTCCATCTGACCAACCTTTACTTAAAGTTCGCAAAAGACTAAGACGTTGTTCAAGTGGACTCAGATACAAGGGTAGCAAGAAGTGATGTCTCCTGTATGGCAAGTTTAAACTTCTCATGCTGAGAATGCACTTTTACTTTTGGAGCAACATGAAAATCTACAGCTCCAGGCTTTCCATCCGTGACTTGGGTACTAAAGGCCCGTTGATGTTGACAATAGTACTTTAATGTCCACCTCTCAGAACACAACTCAGTATCGAATAAATTTATCCCAAGCAACTGGCGAGCAGCAAATATGTGTCGACATGGTAAGTTCATTGACTTTCGAAACATGCATGAACAAAAATTTGAAGTCACTATATGACTACCTTCATGGCTGTTTACTATGAACTGGCCATGTTCTCCTGGTAACAATATAATTTCTTTAAACAAGCTCATTTGTTTTAGAACATGTCGAGCAGCATACAATGTCAAAACTTTTTTATAAGCTGCCTCAGCAGAATTAGGATCAAACACATCAACAGAAACTTTTTGCATTTGAAAAATGGTCCTATGATCTCTTTCATTGCGCATTGATGTTAGAACAACATAGAATTTATCAAGAAAGTTTTCTAAAGAGCTATTGCAGTCAATGACTTCTTTTAACTTTCCATTGAAATTTTCTAGCCGGTTATTGGTGCTGTTCATGAGGTTTCCGCTCACAAATTTTAGACCAAAAACCCACTCATCACGAATATTATGCCAATTGTTGTTATAACAATCTATAACAGTGGATGGAGCTGATGAAACAAATAGTCTATATAGTTCGTCATAATTTTTCTCTAAGGTAGCATAGGCCAATTTCTGAATAAACTCAAGAGATGAAATTCTTTCCCCACTTGTAATCCCAAGCTTGGCAGTTGTAATTTCACGACTAAAAGTTCTGAAAGACAAGATGGTGTTGGCATATTAGAAAACTCAAAATTTATAAGATTCTGTAGATAATCAATAAATACAGGTACAAATTAAAAAAAAAGCGTAACTAGAATCAGAACAAGAGAATATTCCTTAATCAAATAATTAGTGACATATAAACAATGACTATTACCGAAGGGTGTGAAATAAACAGAGTAATAGAGATACCCCCGGAAAAGCACCACGCAATACATCTCTTTCGTTCAAGTCTTTATCTGTCATGAAAACATTTGTCTTTGGCCAAGAAATATTATAACTCTTGAATCTTTCAATGAACCAACTAAAAATTATGTACAAAAAATTTCATAGCTTTCACATAATCTATTTTCTATGTATATTTTTTGTAAGAATTTTTTGGTGTGTGACTCAAGGACACCTAATACTGTCAGATGGTTTTATTTAATATTAGTTTTATCTGTTATAAAGTAATTTCATCAAAGCCAGATATAGTTAATAAATCATACCTCAGAGATGCAGCATCTTCACGTGCAAGCAAACCGACAGCTGCTATTTCACTTTCACCTATGAAAAATATTTGTAGTAACAAGCTAAATTTTAATTTGTAGTAACAAGCTAAATTTTAAAGCTAAAGCTAATTTCAAAAATCAATCAAACAAAAAAAAAAAACAGTAACCAAAATTAAAATTAGTAACTAAAGTTATATAAAGAAGCAATCCAAACTAACCAGCTCCGTCTTCACATAGCAGAATATATACTGGCAAACGAATTTCTAATAATTTATAAGTTGCATCCATGCATAAAAATTCAGGATATGCATTGTAAACACTATGCATTGAAATATCTTGGAAAAAAAGCCCTTGTAAATTATTTTCTGCATCCGTTAAAACATCTACATTAGCATCTAAAATACATATATTTATAAAGTGACGAATCTAGGGGGATTAGGGGTATGTATTCCCTCCCCAACCAAAATATATGTCTTTTAAAATGTTTGAATTTGAAAATTTTATAAATATATATATATATATATATATATATATATATATATATATATATATATATATATATATATATATATATATATATATATATATATATATATATATATATATATATATATGTATATGTATATGTATATGTATATGTTTATGTATATGTATATATATTTATAAATATATATACATATATATATATATATATATATATATATATATATATATATATATATATATATATATATATATATATATATATATATATATATATATATATATATATATATATATATATATATATATATATATATATATGTATACATATATATATAATATGCATATATAATATATACATACACTATATATGTATATATACATACATAATATAAATATATATATACTATATATATATATATATATATATATATATATATATATATATATATATATATATATATATATATATATATATATATATATATATATATATATATATATATATATATATATTATATATAAATAAGAAAAACATATATAATATATATTTTATATTTATATAATATATCAAGTAGTCTCTACTTGTAATCCACACTCATGAAATAATACGGTCATAAAGAAATATCCATTTAATATTTACCTAACTATTACCTAATTAACGTCGATTTTATTTAATAGTTTTAAACAAATTTTTCAACGTTGATACAACGTTGATTTTTGGTTATACGACGTCGCGACTAAAAATCAACTGTAAATCAACGTCGAAATAACGTCGCGTGCCCACTGGGAAGTTTGCATACATATCTTATGATAAATTGATAATTCGCGATTGGGTTGGAAAGAAACGCAAAAATTCATCTTCATAATATTTTTCATTAATTAACAGCATTTTATTTTTACTATTACTTATCTTAAATTAAGCTGTTTTTATAATGGAGGAAAATTTCGTAATTAAATTTTCAGATGAAAATGACATTCTTTGTGATTTGATACCGACTCAAATTATCTTAATCACAAAATGTTAGAAAGTAAATATTACTCCGTTGCTGAATGTTTGCGACATCTTAAACAAAATAAAAGCACTTTCTTAATTTTAAATATCAATTTTTCAATTATAAATATCAATAAATCTGGTAACATGAAAAAGTTTAAAACTCATCTTAAAACATTTCTAAACAAAATTAAAAATTCCAGGAAACATATTTACTTGGTCGGGGATTTTAACATCAACCTAATTAACTATGCTACTAATAATAATGCTAAGAATTTTATAAATACTCTTTTAGAAAATAACTTTATTCCAACAATAAGCAAATCAAAAGAGTTACAAAAAAGTCTTCAACTCTACTTGATAACATCATAACTAACAGTTTTTATAATAGTCCTCTTTTCACAGGTATAATTCAGACTGATTTATCATATCATTTTCCAACATTCTTAGCAACCAGTAACATTTTAATAAACAATATTGCTACAAAATCCACAATATTTCGGCGACAGATCAATGAAAACTCCTTAAAGCATTTTTAATGCTGTTTTAAAAATAATGTTGATTGGAATTTAATTTTGCAATCAAGTGATGCTAACAATGCTTATAACTTGTTTCTTGGTCAATTTTGCAAGCAATATGAAATAGCGTTTCCAGAAAAAGAAATAATCATAAATACCAAATCACTTCAAAGTCCCTGGATGTCAATAGGCTTACTAAAATCTTCAAAAAAGAAAGAAAAATTATATATAAAGTATCTTAAAGAAAAATCTTATAAAAATGAAATAACTTATAAAAATTACAAAAATATATTCGAAAAAATAAAAAGATACACAAAAAAGCTTTATTATGCTCAGTTATTAAAAAAACACAACGGAAACACTAAAAAAGTATGGAATGTAATATAGGATTTAATTGGAAAAAATAATTACAAAAAAAACACTCTGCCAAAAAATCTTTTAATAAATGGAAAATAAGTTTATGATAAATCTGTTATAGCTGAAACTGCTTTGTTAATATTTTCTTACATCCAAAGTTATCTTACATACGTTAATATAACATGGGCAAGTGCACACAAATCCAAATTGAGTACTATTTACATAAGTCAGTAAGTAATGACTGTAACATCCCCATCGTCATACGACATAAATCATTTGTAAAATCGATTTTACTGAAATCCATTTTTTTTATTTATCTAAAAAAAAGTAAAAAAAATTAAATTATTTTTTATTTTATACATTTAGATGAAAAAAAGACAAAAAAGAAATACGTATTACAAAAAAACCAAGCAAAAAACTCGAAAAAAGGTAAAACGAGGAAAAGGATTGGCTTCGTTAATAACAGTGGACAATGCAAAAATGATTGGAAAATTTGCAATTCAAAATGTTGACGTTTTAGGCACTTTGGCCAATTCGCTTTATAATAAAATTAAAGGAAAAAAGAAAGAAACGCCTGTAAAAACGCAAGAAACGCTAATAAAAACGCAAGAAACGCTAATAAAAACGCAAGAAACGCTAATAAAAACGTTGCCTTCTGATATTTCACAAATGTCATACGAAGAAAGACAAGCCTATTATAAAAATTTGTAACAAAAAAAACTATTTTTTATAAATAATAAAAAAGTACACAAATTATTTATTTAAAAATTAAATCGACATCTGACATTTCTTTTGGTATTCTTTCTTGTTTTATACAAAATGGTTCATGCAACGGATCGTTATTATCGCAAAATGGTTTTTTTTTAAATTTTGTTTTAATTTCATTGATTAGTTCCATGTTTTTTTCGTAATTGACTTTTTTTTTCTTTCATGTGCCCATGACGCTTTTCTTAGTTGTAGTTGATATCTTTTTTTAAACACTCTGATTTGAATTTGGTTATTTTTAAGTTTGGTCAAAAGTTTATTGATTTGTAACAACGCGCTTTTTTTTTCAGAAAGTCGACTAATTATATTATCTGGATTTCGTTCAGTGCTAAAAAAATAAAAAAAAAAATTAAAAAACTATACAAGTAAATAATTTGTAATAACATTTATTTATTACAATAAAAAAATAATTTTTTTTCATTTTTTTATAAAAAATATTTTTTTTTTTTACTTATTTATTAAAGATAAAAAATGTCTGTAAGAGAAAAAATAATATCATTTTATGCTATTGATGAGGC